GGAGGTGAACATCTCCCAGGAGTCCTCCGAGGAGGAGCAGTGAGAGCTCGCCCGCCGCTACCTCATTCCCGCCCCCCCAGCCCTTGGCGAGGGGGCGCTGGGGGGGGCGCTTACGGGGGAGGGAGGTGCAAAAAGCTCCGCGGCCGCCCCGGCTTTTTCCACCTCTCTCCCACTCTCGGACATCGGCACTGGAATTTCCCTCCCCCCAGCATCCCTGTTGCCCCGGCTGCCCCCCTTCCTCCCCGCGCCGGGGCTTCCTTGGCCACCCCCTCCGGGTGTCCACGAGGAAGGGGCGGCCAAGGAGGGGCCCCTCCATCCCCCCCCCGAACACCACAGAGCCGGGGGGGAAACRCTCCGCTCCGGCCGGGATGCGCTGCCCCCCCACAGCCCCGGCTCCRGCCGGATTCTCTCTTTTTTTGTATGTTTTTTTTTTTCTTTTCATTCGCAACTACCTCTGGATATTTAAGTTCCGGGCGCTGCGCTTGCCACCGCGGGCAGCGCCGGGCTGGGGTTGTTTTCTTGGTTTTTTTCCGGGGTTTTTAGGTTTTCGTTGTTCCTTTTTTTCCCTCTGGCCACAGTGACACCTCGCACTGAGGCCGAGGGGGGACGCGGGTTTTTTCTCCCCATTCTGGGCTTTTTCTTAAGGCGGGGGCCTCGCAGGGCGCCGCGGCTCCTCCTCCGGCCAAAGGGATCAGGGGCGGCCACAGGTGGGAGAAAATCTCTTCTTTTTTTCCCCCCACTTTTGGTTCACTGTTAATGACCTTTTGGTTTCCTACTTGCAGTTACTTGAATAAAAGGTTTTATGGATGTCGGCTGTCTCTGCGCTCYGGGTTTTGGCACCGCTCTGGGGTGAGAAAAGCCCTGTTTTTAGCCACGCGCGGGCGCTTAGCGCGGTACCTGCCCGGAGCCACAGCATCCGTGTGTCCATCCCTGCAGCCAGTGCAAGGAACCCCCTGCACCCGCTCCGGATTGCGAGGCCATTTATTACAAAACAGAACACTAAGGAGCTGCTGTCACATCCCAAAGGGCCCACTGCTGCCCAGATCCCGCATGCAGGAGGCTCCGGCGGGATCCACGGACCCTCCCTCCCAGCCGTGTGCTTCTTGTGCCCAGATCCCGCTGTGAGCGCCCGAGTCCCGTGAGGAACTGGCCGAGCGGGAAGGCGGCAGCAAAGCCGGCGGCTCCGGGGGCTCCGGCGCGTCGGCATCGGCCCGGTGGCGTCAGACCCGCCAGTCGGAGCGCAGGGAGCGGCGGGGCTGGGAGCCCCCCCAGCCGGGCGCCACCTGCAAGGAACACAGCAAGGTCCTGAGTGGGAAAATCCCACGGGAGCCATGGGATCCTGGCAGCCTCCATCCCATAATCCCAGGCCTGCACGGGAGGCGGGAGAGCTGCCTGGCCCCAAACCGGGATTTCCAGCTCCAGCGCATCCCGTCCGGACTTGCAACTGCTCCGGTTACACAGGCTGGGCTGCTGGCAAGGAGCTGGAACATGCCCGGAGCGGGAATGCTGCGACTCCCAGGGCTGCCGCGCTAGCCGCGGCCTCCACCACTCACCCGGGCGTCCTCGGCCTCCACCAGCAGCTCCTGCTCGGCCTCGGCGGGCTCCTCGGCCGGGTCGTAGCTGTACATGGGCAGCAGCCGGTGGCGCAGCCGGTCAAACCTGGCAGGACGCAGCGCTGGGGTTGCTGGGCGAACACCCTGGCCCCCCTGCACCCCTTCCCCGGCCGGCCCTTCCTCCCGCAGCGTCGCTCACCTCCTCTTCTTCTGCACATACATGGTCTGCAAGGAGAGGGGGGGCGGCATGAGAGGGGCTGGCACCGGCCGCCCAGCTCCGCACCCCACTCCGCACCCCACTCACCAGGGCCAGCACGACGCCGACGACGGTGACGAGGACGAAGGGCACGAGGACGTAGCCCACAAGGGAGTCGCTGCTGGCGGCGCCGGGGCTGGTGGGCGACGTCCTGTTGCTCATGGCCGGCGCGGCAGCGCGGTGCCGGCCGCTCCGCGCATGGAGCCGGCGCAGGAGGCACCCGGGGACGGCGGCACCGCAGGCTGCAAAGCGGCAGGAAGACCCTGGAGATCCCGCCCAAGGGCACCCGCTCTGGCAGCAGGAAGCGCTGCGAGGCTCCCGCGCAGCAGCCGCATGCAAGGATGCACCCGGAAAGGGTGCACCCAGCACAGGGAAGGTGCACCGTGCATGCTGCATGCACCCAGGGAGGGTGCACCCAGCACAGGGAGGGTACACCGCGCATGCTGCATGCACCCGGGGAGGGTGCACCCAGCACAGGGAGGGTGCACCATGCATGCTGCATGCACCTGGGGAGTGTGCACCCAGCACAGGGAGGGTACACCGCGCATGCTGCATGCATCTGGGGAGGGTGCACCCAGCACAGGGAGGGTGCACCATGCATGCTGCATGCACCCGGGGAGGGTGCACCCAGCACAGGGAGGGTGCACCGTGCATGCTGCATGCACCTGGGGAGGGTGCACCCAGCACAGGGAGGGTGCACCGTGCATGCTGCATGCACCTGGGGAGGGTGCACCCAGGAGCTCCCAAGCACCCAGCCTGGCGCACGGCTTTGCAGCCCCCTGGGAGCAGCCCCGCAGCCCCCGCTCACCTGCGGCGGGTGCGGGGCCGCCCGCGGCTCCCTGGCTCCGGGCGGTCACTTCGCCGGCGCCTCCATCGCAGAGGCCGAGGGGGAGGCCGCGCAGCCCCCCCGGGGGTGCAGGGAGGGGGCTCCGTCTGCGGGGGAAAAGCTGCTGAGGGCTATGGGGGGGACGGCCCAGGCACCCCATCCAGCCACGCACCCCCCCGGCTC